GAGTTAAAAAAGTTTTATTATTTATGTTCATATATTAGTACTATTTTGCTGACTTTTTATAGTATAATAATAATAACGTAGATCGATCTCGTATCGATGTTGAACTCATAAATAATTTAAAAAATTGTTAGAAATATATCATGTTAATGAAAATTTAATCCCATATATAAAGTTATGAACCATACATGTCTTTTCAACATGGATTTGGAGGAAATTTTTCATTGTTCATCTTTTCATGTAAATGAAAAAGCTGCAAGAATGAACTCATTCACATCATAAAAGACTAATTACCATCTCTGAATTTGTACTTGTTCCACTGTTCTTTCTTCGGCCAATCCAATTTTCCAGTGTGTGAAAAATGATTCCACTCTCTTTTGTACCAAAATTGGAACTATATGACGTCGTTTCAGTTGTCCTTTTGGCTAATATCTCGTGAAGATTTTGCCAATTCAACACATTTGCAACGTTGTCCTTTTTTTTTGTTGTTAGGTTAATATTCCATTTTTGTTCCTCAACTTTCAAGATTTGCTCGATTTATAAAATTTGGTCAAATTTGAGTAAGTTAGCAACTAAAGGAAGGATTATATTAAATAGAGCGATTTGAAAAATAGTCAAAACTATCAAATATTGTAAAAATGGCTAACTGGCAGTTATGTTCAATACTACAATTTAAATTGGACAATAATACCGTGAAAACAAATTGACCAAATATTATCCTTGCCTTTTCTTTTGATGACAAATATACCTTTGAACTAACAACTTATGCAGCAATGAGATATTAAGAACCAAAAAACTTAGAGGAGAAATAACCCTACAGAATCAAACTTTTTATTATTTGAAATCGTAGATTTCCTAAATATATATATATATATATATATATATTTATTTATTTATTTAGGAAGAAATAACCATCAAAAGCTCAATTATGTTGGAGTAATATGATTAAAATTGATATAGAAATTTTTGAGTGAAAATAGGGATGGAGTAACAATATTATGACAGTATTAACTCACCCTCTCCAACGTGATAGGGTAGGTAGTGATTGAAAAACACAGAATACAAATTGAGTAGGTAAGGATAAACAGAGTACATGTCACTCTATATAGGGTCGATATATCTAAATTTCTTTGTGAAAAGCTGCATTCTGAGTGGCATCTACGCTTACCCCTGTATGTGGAATTATCTATGAAGTCTGTATCTACAAGTATGCAACAGTTGTTGCCCATGGTGTCCAGCAGAAGTGATAAGGCCCACACCACATCTCTATCTTCTAATGCCTCACAATGATTGACTTACTTGCATAATTCCTGAGTAATGAAAGGCTCAAAAATTTCTTTTCTTATGGAAAATAAAGAAGACATGCCTAGAATCGTCTATTAATTTCTAATTATTTGTTCGATAGTAAGCCTATTTGCCACCTGTGAAGAAAACAAGCGCAACGAGCAAAATGAGAACCCAAAATTTTCTTAAAATTAGTATCACCAGAGACCAAAGAATCATGATTCTGCGAAGGATACAAAACCTTTGGCCGTTTTTTATTAGCCTGTCGTGGATGTAGTCATTACTCAAGATTTTCCAAGTCTAAATTCACAACTAGATGGGTCAAAAGCTCATCGTCAACTAAACTCAAAGCTTAAGTTATCACAAGCTCGGCMCATGAGCTCAAGTTCAGTACATAAGGTTCATAGAAGACTCTAAAAATAGAGGAGAGCCAATCAAGATTAGCACGTTGAAGAGTCAATCAAAATCAACAAGTCAAAAATGCTAATCAAGATCAACAATGTCGATCATGATCTGTAAGTCAGCCATTAGGCCAATCAACAAGCCACTCATATAATCAAGATCAACGAGCCATGACCCAAAAAAATTAATACAAATTATATTTAGTCCAAGAATTATAAATTCTTTGAGAATCTTGTATGACCAACAATTATTTTTGTTTTCACTATTATTTTGTCACCTGATAGTTGTCCATCTAATAATCATTTATACCCATGTCAACATGATATTACACATATTTAAAATTGTGTTTTTCATTTATTTATTAAAAGCAAAATAATGCTAAGAACATAAATGATTATTTTTAAAAGATATAACTAAAATTGGACTTTTCAAAATGTCAAAATATAAAATAAAAATAATTAATATTTAAAGATTAAATAGATATTTTGAAAATTAAAGTATTAGAATGGAATAACCTTAGAGGCTAAATCAGATTTAAACCCTTACTGATTTTTTTTCATATTTGAAAAAAAAAATCATATATATCACTCCATAAGGATTTTCTTTGTCAGTTTAACGTTTTTGAATGCACCTTATTAAGTCTACGCTTGACAACTTGAGCCTAATTTAACGCAGATATCTTTGCAATTTCCCACCTAACTAGAAAGAAATGCTGCGTATCTGTAAGAAGAAAAAAAATAATAAATAAGTAATACTTTTCGTGGTTGGAGAACAAAAATCTGAAAATAAGAATTTACTCACCAAATAATAGAATTTCCACATTTGGATTAAAGTACAAAATAATTAAAGAAAACAAATATGTCAAACCAAGAGTTACTAAATCCATTTAGTGAATCTAAAAACAATAAAGAGGATTTTTGTATTTTTTAAAACTTTTTTCTTGTTTTGTAGTACAATAAAATGGATATGTTGATTTAAACCTTTAATCTAAAAAAAGAGTTGGGAGTTAATATGTTTTTATTGTGTTCATGTTGACTTGTCTTTTGTAACTTGATACAAGTTTTTAGAACTTGGTTTAATCTAATAATAAATAGTAATACAATATCAAGCGGTAAGACCGTTAGTTTATCTTTTCAAAAAAAATAAAAAAATAAAATAAAATAAAAGACCATTCGGTTATAAAATGAAGATTTAAGTATAATTGATTTTTCAAAATCATTACCTTAAAAATCAATTTTAAGTGATTTTAAACTTTGCTAAAATCAAAATTTTAAATTTTGAAACATGATTAATGAAAATAGTAGTGATTTTGATAATGACAGAAGTGATTTTCTCAAACATACCCTTAAATTAAGGGTGGGAACAATAAATTTATGAAAATAATTGGAGTAGCAGACCTTCCAAATATTCAATGAGTAGAGTAATCAATATCATATTAATTTGAGTATAGTTTACGGTTTTAAGTATTTACTTTTTTTTAGTTCGGAGTTTGTGGTTGACAAGACACGTTTTAATTACAAAAATCAAGTGTCAAAGTAAGCAGCTCAATCGTAATTGACATATACCAACAACCAAAAAGTTGTGAGTTCGATCCCTACCCACATATGTTGTACTAAAAAAATTACAAAAATTAAGAAAAATATAATTATTAGTACTATATCAACGTTAGTAATAGTTTGTAGAGTTTTTCTTATATTTTGTCGATTTTTTTCCTAATATCATAGAAATGGCAATACTCTTTTTATGTTCATGTCAAATTCATAGACAAGTAAAAATGTAGATACATTAACAAAAATTTAATAGTCCAATTGTGATAATTAAAGATAAATTGATTTTTATTTTTTTTTGGAAAGGCGATAAATTGATTTTTGCCTTAATTGTATAATTCCATCCCCATGTTCTTCCACTTATAGCTTGTCAAAACTAACCAACAAAAATGTCAATAATTTAAATAGTTTTATTCTAACCTTTAAAAATGGTAATGTTTTTTCAACCAATCAAAATGGAGAAGTAGATTCGTACGAATTCACTTTGAGGGTGACAAAGGATATAGCCAACGAATAACTGAAATTTTCCTTTTAGAATATAACCAAATATTTTATTGTCTAATTTTTAAGAATTTTTTTAGTCTCTTAAATTTTAGAAATTTTAATTATATTAAAATTAATATTCTAAATTTTTAAGAAGTTGGTAAAATTTTCAACTTCTCCTTTTCTAGATAGGCTAACTCCACCAATTTTTTACTCCCTCAGCTGTGTATTAATTATACCTTGTAAGTTTATAATCAGTCACACTTAAATAATTTGTTAAAAATGTTATAATATTAAGAATTAAATTGATTTTTTTAAACAATACCGATGACAAGATTGTGAAAAACATCATTTTTTCATTTAAAAAAGATTGAAAAATATCATTAATACATTAAAAAATATATATTTAATTGACATAGTATAACTTAACTAGACAAGACATTAAATTTTTTCTGGAAAGTAGTGGATTTTAATCTTTGAATTAATATTAAAATCATAATAATGATGATAATAAAATAACAAAATTAATTCTTCAAATTTAATAGTCGTGGGTATTTAATTTCTAAATTTTAAATATTAGTTTTTAACTTTAGATTTTAATTTTTTTTTCTTTACAATAGAGGTAAGAGGAGGGATTGAACTTCTTTAACTATTGAGCTAAGCATTAATAGCTTTAAGTAATTTACAACATATTTAAATATCGATACAGATAAATTTATTGATAATTGAGCAAAAATGGGAATAAGAATGAGACAAAAGAAGTCAAATAGATAAGATAAGGACTCTCTCTCTCTCTCTCTCTTTTCTTTTTTTACAGGATAAAATAAGGATAGGGTCAGTCAAAAAGATCAATTTAAAATTGAAAAACAAATTATAGATTCAGTTTAAAAAGAAAGTTCCTAAACCTTTTAAATTATATTTTTATAACTTTAGATTTAATTAAGTAAGTTGGTAGGGTCAATTTTTACATTTTTACCGTCATTACTAATCCTTTTTTTTTCTTTTTTATTGTTACTAATCGTTGAACTAAGAAGTGACAATTTTTACATGACACAATTTTAATATGACACGGGGAAGCCAATCAACTAGATCAAGCTAAAATATTTAATTTGAAATATATTCAACACATCCATTGTGTTAATTTTTTTTATTGGTATAATTTATCTAGTGGACTTATTTACCTCACTTATAGAATAAATTAAAGTCATATTCTTTCTATTATAGTAAAATATCATTTACTAATTATCATCTGAGATATTATCTGTTAAATGCAAACTTAATACGATGTAGAAATTGAAGAACTATATAAATACATTTCGAATATTAATAAACTAAATTTATAACTTTAACCTAACAACAATACTTTATCCTTTCAATAATCAACTTTTATTAAAGTTGAATTGGAAAATTATTGAAAATTACATTGGAAATTATGATTGAAATTAGATCCTGAAGGCTGAAAAGTAACAAACAGGATCACAGCTTCCCCTGTCCCAGTTGTCTCAAACTCAGAGGCTCGGAACGACGCCGTATTGACCCTCACTGAACGGGAAGCCGCCGCCGGCGAAGATTCTGTCCACGTCGGAGTTCATTTCGCTCCGTTTAACGAACCGCCCTTTGATTCTCGGCCGAATTTCGGCGTAAGCTTTCCTGGACGCGTACCGAATCGTCTTCTCGAATTTCCTATTCTTCTTCTTCTCTCTGTACCTCAAAACCCTCGCCTCCCGATCCAATCCCCGCAATTGGGTCGCCGTTTGCGCTGCCGGAAACGACGCGTCGGACGCCGTGTTTCTGTCCGGCACAACTCCGACGTCTAAGGAAGACGACGAAACCTGAGAGAAAAAAAAAACAGAGTATTGAGTTGTTATTCATCTGGGTCAGATTTTTTTCAGTCACAGACAAATGGGTTCGAGAGAAATTTACGCTTTGGCTAAGATTCTGAGATGGGAAGCTAATGCTATCGAATTTAGATCGGGTACAGAACTCCAATCCGCAGAAATTCGCGGTGGAATTGTCGGTCGCCGGCGTCGCCACCGTGGCCGGATTCGATTGGTCGGGTACAACTCCGTCGCCGGCGGTTGGGTAATCGAAATCGATGAAGGAATTCATATCGGAGAAGAAGATGTCTTCGGATTTCAATTCGGGGATTACGACGTCGTCTTCGTTGGAGAGGAGAAATTTAAAGGCGGCGGTCGGCGATTTGACGGCGAATTCGGCGGAGTCGTAGAAGGGTTCGACGGCGGAGCGCTCGTGGCGGCGGGCGAGGGGGTTGACGGAGTGGATGTCGGCGTCGCAGGTGACGCAGAGCGCGGCGGCGTCTGCATTGCACGTGACGGCGGCGGGCGCGTGCTCGCAGACCTCGCAGAGCCAGACACGCGCGTGGCGCGTGGCGGGCAGGAGCTTTGCAGTGTTGGGGCCGTGGATTTGGGCGTCGCAGCGGAGACAGAGGAAGGCGGCGTCGGCGCGGCAGTACAGCGCCGCGGCGCTGGACTTGCAGGAATAACAGAGTAATTTAGTGGGCGTTGGGACGCCCCATCCAGCGCCGAGGCTCTGCATCGTGGCAGAGGGAGCGAATTTCTTTGCTCTGTGTTTTGTGTTCTGTGTGTCTGTGTTTGTGATTTTGGGTTTGATTTTGGAGTTGGAGTTGCCATTAATGGAGGAGGGGTGTCTTTATTTAAAGTTCTGAGAGATGGGGAGAAGGAAAATCTTGGCACCGACCAGTAGGACGACGGTACGTGGTGGATGCAACACCACAACTATGGATTTTTCATTTTTTTTTTCATGGGGTTTTATTTCTAAGAAAAAAAACAATAAAAATTGGATAATATTACTAAAGGGATGTTTTTGGGATTGGGTTTTTTATCCAAATGGAAGGGTTCGAAGGGGATGGTTTGGTTCACGGTTTCTGTAAAATTGGTATTGAAAAATTATCAATTGGATTTTTATAGTTGAGATTAAGTTTCAATTTGATTTATATGATTTGAACTTAGTGGGTTTGTACCCCAAGTTATATTAAAAAAATTTGTTTCAAATAATTTTTTTTGGTTTTAAAAATTTTAATCTTATTACGATGGTTTAGGTTTGATTTAGTGAGATCACTTAAACTTCACAACTCATCTCCTAAATTAAACTGAACTATTTTCTTCTATCTTTTACTTAGTTCCCTGTCATGCTACAATGACAATTAACACCTCAAATAATAAGAATAAGCTCATTGCCATGCAATTAGAAACTTGTGAATGATAATTAACCTTTCTAAAGTTAGGTTAAATTACAAGGACCAAATTGAACCTTTTAAGACATCAACTGCATTGAAACTAAATTTAAATCATAGAGACCAAATTAAAATCAAGTCCAAAATATATGAACCAAATTGAAAATTTTGGAATCATATGAACTAAATTTGAACCGATTAGGATGCTATAGTTTGGCTTCATTTTAGGATTAAAATTGTGGCCAAAGGTTTTTATATTTGACTTATAGGGAAAATTACTAATATTTATGTGTTGGTAGTTCGAAYTTGTATTATTTGCGTTTGAATTTAGATTAGCTTGTATTTAGTTGGTAGATTTATGATTTATTGAAAGTAATAATATATTCTGATTGCGATTTATGTAGAATCTGATTGCTTTCAAATCATAAATCTCTTGAGTGGTAAAAAATCTAATCTTAAAGAGATACATTTTGCCATTGAAGAAAGTGTTCAACCCGCTTCGACTTCAAGTGTAGTGTCGATCCAACATGCATTAAGGGATTCGAACTTGGTGGCTCACGAGCTTGCGAAGAAAAAGGCAGAGATGGAAATAGAAATTTTGATTGAAGCACGATGAAGGAGGAGATCTTCCACTTCTTTCTCAACTTTTTATTATTTAAGTTCTGTTACTTTACTCTTATCAAAAAAGAAAATAATAATAATAATAATATATTCAACTTTAGTATAGCTCAACAATTAAGATATTAATAACATTATAAATAAAACGATGTAAGGTTATTGAGATTAACATGAATAAATATATTATATATACGTACAAAATGTTAGTTTGGTCTCACAATTCCGCCGAATTCACTAGCCAAAAAATTCTCAAAATTAGAAGTATGAGAATATGATGGAAAAAGGTTGAAGGTTTTTGTTTGAATATAGTTTCCTCTCGTTTTTTCTTTTATTTTTTCCATTTTTGGTAAAATATTTTTTTCTTTTTGTTTCTGAATTTTGAACTTGTTTCATAAGTTTAAAAAACTATATCATGGATTAAATTTAATTTCTATTTGATTGTTGAAATTTTGAAAGTAATTTAGTTTTTAATTGGTTCTTAAAGTTTAAATTTAATTTCTCATTAGTTTTTGAATTGAGTTGACAGTTAGTTGACCCAACAAAAAGTCAAACATATATCGACTAATTAAGTGGTGTTGTAAATGAGTTGGGAAACTTTATTGTTTATTATTTGTTTTTGGCATTTCTCTTTACTCCTCTTTCTCTTCTTCTTCCTTTCTACTTCTCTTCTTCCATTTTAAATGGACGACCAAAATTTGAATTTGGGTTGAATTAAGGCAGTTGGCTACCGATTCCCTGCCAGAACATCCGGCGAGAACAATACTAATACGCACCAGATTTGGTCCTATTAAATAGGACTTAAAAAGTTGGAAATATGGAATGGACAGCGTTAGATTTGCAAGGTAAATGCAAACAAAGTCTCACATTGGCTAGAAAAGGGATCGATTCATGAAATCTTTTGGGTGAAACTAAAAGTAAAGTCATGAGAGCTATGCTCCAAAACGAATAATACATACAATGGTGGAGATACTTGGAGTACTTGGATTCCGTTTTTATTAATCGATAGAAATTAAATGATTAAAGAGTCTAAAATGCATAGGAGAGGAGAGTGCTTCGGCCAGTATCTACTTTAGTTGTACTTTGTAGAGCGTTTGGGGCAAGGGATTTGGCCCATAAGTTTGGTATTTGTAGATGAGTGATCTACAAGTATATGAGTTTATTTATTCTAAGATATTGATTTGCTAATCCAACATATTAATTGATTTGCTAATCCAACATATTAAAGTTATTAGAGGGAAATATGAACAAATAATTTAGTAAAAATAATACATTATATGAATAGCAACTCATTTTTAATAGAGAAAATAAATGTAAGGTTAAAAGTAGTCATAACATCTTTTATGTCATCGTTAAAAAAGTGCCATATGTTTTATGACAATATCAAAAGTGTCGACATTTTTTTAAAAATAGGTGGAAGTACATCCTTAATTTTGGTACTTGAATTTTGACAAAAACGTTACTTGGTCCATCAATTTAAAATTTTAGAGTGAAAATAAAATCTGAGGGGAAATATGTCAAATAAAAATAAAAGTTAGAATTAGAAAGAAAAAAGAGTTTTTGAAAAACATAAATCTATTTTGTAAAATTAGTTTTTTTAAGAAATTCATTTTAAAATTTAAAAACGTTTTTAAAAAACATGTAATTAAAAAATGAATTTAGTTTTTTTTTTTTTGTCTTTTTAGTCAATGGGTGAAGCATTGGAACTCATGACCTCTTGGTCAACTACTCTGACAAAAAAAAAAAAGAAAAAAAAATTATCGGACAAACATGTTTTTCAAAAATAAAAAACTACCAAACTGCACCTAAATATTTATCCAAAAATGAAGGAATCTTAAGTTTCGGTCCCTACCATGAGGCTTTTTTGGTTATCTCTATTAATAAAAAGTTGATTCAACTTTTATTTTTAATTAAGTTTAAAGTTAGTGTAGCAAAACAATGTTGGTTCTACCCATTTGTTAGTTAACAACGTTTCATACTTGCCTATTAAAAGAAAAAAAAAAGACTAAAATGTAGTTTACTATGACACGTAAAATTGCCTTATTTACAAATATAAAGGTAAGATTTTAAAAGATGAAAATATACTCAAATTTCAGAGATAAAAAAAGGTATCTATGTCTAAAATGTCTTGTCTATGTCTAACTTTTTGTGGAGTAGCTAAGGAAAAAGTTGATAAATATGGACCAAAATCATGAATGTTTAAAATTTTAAGAGTAAACACATTGATGCTAAAGTGTGAAAAATAATTTAAACCACACAAAACATAATTAAACATGTAATTTTCTACCTTATTTACTTGATGTCAATTATAATATTCAATATGAAACAGAATTATTTAAAAGGGAAGTCTAACTAAATATTTAATATTAGAAATGCAAGGTTTATATTTTAATTATTAGATACCACTCCTAATTATCAAAGAGTTTTAACATAGGAACAAAACCATAATTTTTGGTAGGAGGAATCGTTTTTACTTACTATTATATTTAAAAATAACTTCAAATTAATAATACATTTGAAAGTTAAAAGAAGAAGTTTTACCTACTTATATATAATGACAATGTATAAATTGAAAAGAAAAATAAACTTTTAAATTGCGGACAAGAATTAGATGGAAGAGACAGACAAATTTATATGGGTATAAATCGAAAAGAATCCTCTTAAGTCCAATCTTATTTTTAGAAAATTAGAGTTTGAATATTCCACCTATATATATATTTTTTCCTTGTATATATATAAAAGTAGAAACTTTTTTTTTAACAAAAATCACGTGCGAGTGGATTCAAATGCTGGCCGCTTGCTCCATTAGGCCAACATGAGACCTTGTTGATACAAGTCTATTATTTAGTATATAATACAAAGTGTTTATCAAAGGTTATTTGATATCGAAACTCTGTTATTGGATGGAAAGCTTAATTCATTATTGCTTTGGTTAATTGGTTTTTTAAATTCTGGAGATTTATGAATTGAAGTAGGGAATCCCAACTCATAATGTTGTTAGAATTAAAGAACAAAATGCTTATGTGATAGTAACCTTCTAACCCTTAATATGAATTGAAATTTCCCTAAATAACATGACACAACTCACACGATTGCTTAAAAGGAAAAGGGAAAAATGCAATTGTTGCATGAAGAGAAGAATGTGAAATCATCATGGTAGGAAATTAAGCATTGTTGAGGGTAAAAATGCACAAGGAAGAAAATTTGAATCAAAGAAGAAGGTAAAGCTATGAATTTTTCCAAATGGTCCTCTCTTTTGAAAATTTCATAGTGAAATATTGAATTTTTAGGGTACGAAATTTACTTACTTCTTTCTCTTTTTGGTGCATTGCACCCTAAACACATCCTTATCACAACAGTCCCTTTACTCGTAATCTCTATCACAATGGTCCCTATGAAATTTCGAATCAATTTTCTTCGTTAATTTTATATTTATTTATAATGATGGTGATTGAAAGGTAAACTATTAAAACTCTATTATGGAGGCAAGTCAGATGCATAAACTTGACCCTATCTACATTGGAGGTACGACATATATTAATTAGGAAGAATTTTGGTCCTCGTTATTAAGTTAAAATTGGAGTTGATTTGTTGACTTTGTAATATCAATATCTATAATGATCCTTTTGTCAAACTTGGAAACGAAGTGAAAAAGGATCGATTGTGTGGGACTAGTGATGAAGATAAGAGATGATAGTTGATCCATATATGATATTAAGTTTGGTGGTTGAGTGATGAAAATGATAAAAGGGGCAACATACTTTTATGAAGATTTTATATTTACTGTAAGGGATGATTGAGTTTATCAGAATTCGTTTGGTAACATTTATGTTTCTTG